TTTTTCTTGAAACGCATGCTAAACACTTGGGAAGTAGTTTTGCGTACCTGTCCGACCACCAAGACCCCTCCCTGCTTCTTATTAGGGCCTATGTGCGACTTTTCAGGGGTTTTATTTTAACTTCAGTGAAAGCATTCATTTTGATGGTGTTGGCGTGACAGCTTCATTCGAGGCATATATTTTCGTATTTAATGGGAAACATCAAAGGCTTGGTCCACGATCAGGAATAAAGTTGGAAATATGGTGTCGCGAGGGTAGTGGTCCGCAAGGAACAACCTTGTACTGGTTTACGGCGAAAAAATTGTTAGGGAGGGTGCTATAACGCAATAATAGCTCCAAAAGGACAGTCCTTTACCAGTGGCTCGGTCTCCAGACTCCGCCTTCAAAGCCCATCATCCAATGAAAAAGAAGCTGCAGGACGAAAAAGCATGAAAATCGTAAGCTCACTTGTAAGGTGTGTAGAGGTTCTTAGTAGTGAATAGGCTGTGTGGATGAGAAGCGTAGTGTAGAGATGGAGCTCACTGGGCACGTACAAAGTGGCTTGAAATGGGGTTCTATCTAATTGTAAGGCGGGTGACGAGTTTTTTCTGCCTTTTTTCATTACCGAGTTACACAGCACATTGTCGTCTAGTCTATGCGAACCCTGATGCACCCGTGTATTGCGATTTATCGCGGTTGTGCTTTAAGCGAGCACATTGTGATGTCCCAATACAAAATGGTTAGAGCAAAAAAGTTCTTCACAGTGTGAGCTGCGAATAAAAAGTTTCGCTGCAACCATTCACAGATTCCCTCCAGATGATATGTAATGCAATATTGGAGAGAACTCTCGAACTCGTCTGGATGAGTGTCAAGGTAACCTGCTGAATACCAGGATTAAGAAAGAAATTGTTCAAATCTAGATGCTCTGAAGGGATTCATCGTTATCTTCAGATGCCCAGAAAGGATCCGTATGTTCGTCCTCCACGAAGCTATCTCCCTCGCAGTCGATTATACGGTTGTAGTACAGTGCGTCGCGCACAATAGGATAGAAACTCTCTGCAATCTTCTTTTCTTTGCGGGATAGTGATCAAACAATATCGCAAGACCCGAATTCTTTCACTAGGTGTGATAGCACCAGAGTCCGGCAGAACATTTCCAACTATGGTGGCAGCAAAGAGATGTTGGCTGATATTGTGGGCGTGAGTGAAGAGAGCTACCAGAGATGACGAATTCTTTCGTTGGCCACACACGTTGTCATCCTATAGGATGATGAAATCTCGCAGTTCACGAGCTCCAAGCAGATATGCATGTGTATTTGGTCCCTTGCTTGAGCTAGTTAGGCAAAAGTGTAAGTTTCCACGAAAATCGTTCGCGGGGCTCAATAAGTAGCAGGGAGGGGGTCTTGGTGGTCGGACAGGTACGCAAAACTGCTTCCAATTGTTTTAGCATTGCGTTTCAGGAGAAAGCATAAATCTGGGCGAAGTTGCTCAAGGAATTTAAACATCCGTCTCACTACTTAATGAAAGAATCCATTGACCTGCTGCGTCCATCGACACGGCGGCAGCTGGGTCACGAGGGGTTTACGAGCGCAAAGCATGGGCAGGGGGTCCACCGCAATGGTTAAGCACGGTAGCAAAAAAGGTCCGTAACTCTGCACCCAGAATCGTTTAGCAGATTTGGAAGTCAGATCTGATATCAGTATCCGGAGACGCTCCTAGGAATGTACATCTCATTCTGAATGGCCAGGACGAGTTGGTATCTCCTGTCAGACTAAGTCAGTACGCGTCTTCCTGCGCTGAGTATTATTTCTGGATGGTACGGGCCTCTTTCAAAAATATTTGTGAAAAATCCATGTGCAAAAAAGGAGGGGGGCACCCGCCAGTCAAACGGTTGTCAAAGTAGCGCCAGCTGTTGCGCGCACCACATCTTTATGAGCCCTGTGCCAGATTTTCGTAATGTCCAACCTTTTTGCAAGTATGCGCAAAAATGAGCGGAGATCACGATCTCAGGTCAACTATTAATCTACAGTAGAAACTGACTGCTTACTGCAACAGACATAGGCATTAATCAGCCAGAGGAACTGGCGTCAGCACGGAGGGGTACACGAAATCCCTAGATCAGAAGTGGGTGGGCGCATGTTTCAACTTAACCTGAGGTGTCTATGCTTCTGGTGAGATATTTTCATCTTGACACAATTGTTGTCGTGTCTCTGTCCAACCCAGAACAAGATGACAGTTGTCCCAGACTGGAATATTCCACGAGTAACCTGTTCCGTGCCATGTTCAAATGCCAGGCCTACTCTGGCTCAGGGATAAGGAGTACAGTGGAGCAGGAACTGATGAGGCTCATTGAACTGTCAATTTATCGTTGATGTTTGCAATAAATTTCTTATTTTCACATCGCTCTTTGAAATCGTTTTTTGTATACATCGGCAAAATCACCACCAGTTATACCGTATACTTTATTTTTTTTCATCTAACTATAAGACCCTTTCCAAATTCTACTGATTGATCGCGCATACTTCGATCTGACCAATTCTGTTAAGAATCTCGTGTCCCGGACAAACCGGAGAATGTGCGGGTGCGGACGACAGCAACGACGGCTACTCTATGGTGGGAAGCGCCATCAGACAAGAGTATCCTGGTGAGTTGAAGTGATCCAAAATCAATTATCGATTTTTTTCACTGCTTCAATTCAGCGTTTGATTGAACAATGACCTTTTATCGCTATTGCTGCTGACACTTAGCGGACCTTCATTATGTTGCACACGACTTTAAGAATTCATGTATTGCGTTGTGTTACGGTATCTGCAACTTTCTGTGCGTTTATACTGTATTTAGGTCCGCGGTTACACCATTTCGTACGGTGTTGCGACGCCATCACGACGAATTGTCATCGAAGGTGTTAATACGAACTCATTCACCTTGAATCGCCTTGGTAAGTGTGAAAAGAAGACTTGCCGGAAAACGGAAATCGGAAAATCATGCAGCATTTCCACCTTCCGTGTCTACCTGTACGCGAATTCTCTGCGCTCAAAAAAGTTTTTTGTCTGGACTATCGTGGGTGACGTCACAGTCCACATTGTTTGCGAGGGCGGGGTTAGGCCTTTGTAGGTCTCATTTTGTCCTTTAAAAGAAGGTGAACCAAAGTCACCGTAGTAGGCTCGACTCCGCGCACAAGCTTGTCGTGAATGTGCCAGGGCCACGTAATGTCGCACCCTTCTGAAATGAACCTTTCTCAGAAACTTTTACAAAAGGGTCTATTGGGAGCAGAGGGTAACAATAACCACTTCTCTGATATTTCCCGGTATGTCTCAAAGGTTCCCATGCCAGCCATAGGGGTCGAGTAACCCCTTCCCCCTGTGTAGTCCCCATTGGCGCGCTCTTTTTTATCTGAAAACGCAAATGGGGAACTCATAAGGTTGGGTCTCGCTCCGCCCCTACGGCGAAAGCGGAGTGTACCTCCTAGAGTGCATCATGCATTAAAGGCAGTTGGCACGATAAATCCTCCAAGACGAGCAGGACTAATACGCCTGGCAGGACGGAATTCCGCGACCCTGAGCAGGCGCTGCATAATGCCTTTTCCAGGGAAGGTGCCCTTATAAGGGCGCTATCAAGCCACAACTTTACGTCCCGCCCCCCTTGCCCGCCCGCCCACAAATGGACGACTGTTCCAGACGCTCTAATTGATTCATTTGCTAAGCAAATTATGAAGCGAAGGCATTGGTATGAAGCGGTCGTGATGCTGCATGGATATATGAGTACACATATGCAGCCGTACCTTCGGTAGCGCTTATTGGTAAGATGCCTTCGGAAACTCGTCCAAAATTGATTACTAACACAGTGAGAACGAAGGCTTTTTTCGCAGGATTTTGACCGTTTCACTCCGTTCTTTCGCCATTTTCCCCACTATACAGCGCCCTACTAGCATTTTAGGCCGAGCACCCAATCATCGTGCCAACTGCCTTTGAACTTCTTGCTGAAGGATCCTTTTTTCAGAGCCAGACACGGACTATGTTGTTTCGCCGTGGCGCCATAACGAAGCTGACGGCGAAGATGGCGAGCCAGTACTCCTGCGGCACGGACACTACCTAGTGACGGTATACTACAACATCTTTATTTTCTCATGTACAAGTCTATAGCGACTTTCGATCATTCTTTTTCTTGTTGCTGATACCTTTCCGATACATACCGAAGTCAGCCACAGGGCTAAGGGGTGGGGGGGGGTGGGAGTTAAGGAACTGCTTTTGCAACACTGACCATAAGATCGTCCGAATGTAGAGGATGTCTTGGTCGAAGCCTAGGATACAGCGAGCTCCAAGGTAATGTTTCTCTGCCTAAAACGAAGCTACAAAATACGGTTGTCCTTGTTTTGCTCAAAGATACCTCTAAATGCCCTTCCCTAGCCAAATTCCCCCACCTTTTCTATTTTTTCAGTGTTTTTCTAGGTTTACCCTACTTCCTGACACCATTCTCCTTCCAGGTACACCAGCCTTCTCCCTCTGGCCACCGATCGCTGTTCGAGCACAATCCGCCACTCCGGGTGTTGTTACGGTATCCTGGGAGGATCCAAATCCAGAACAGGATATAGAGAACGAGCTCGATGGCACTCAACGACACTACCTCATACAGTAATATTCTCGAATAAGATCATCAGAACCTCTTATCGACTTCTTATCGTATATTCTATCTAGATACGGTATCTACCAATCAGAACAGTTGTCCAAGATGCGTTCGAATTCGCGAAGCGTCAAGCTAACCGGTTTACTGCCAGGAAAAGAGTACGAGATTGCTGTAAAAGTCGTTGGTGATGATGGACGTGAAAGTCCGTGGAGTATTCGGGACATCGTTCTTACCCCACCAGGTAAAAATGAATTATCTTGTGCGTCGCCTGCGGGTTATCCCTGCAGGATGGAATGCTCAGAACAGAACTGAGCGTCGAATCTCTTGACTTGCCATTAGGTATCTGTAAACCGGAAGGAAAAATGAATACGTTTATATTTCCCAGCATAAAACCGCCCTATTTTTAGATCCATCCAAAGAAGTTTCGCGATACGATTGGGAATGCGATTTTGAAAAGGACCTATGTGGAATGAAAAACGGTGATGGTGTTCATTGGATACGAAGCGGTGGAACACCCCTTGCAGAGAGTGGTGAGTATTCCTTTACAGTTCTGTTCGGATTGGTAGTACAGGTTCAGTCAGTCGCTGGCTGTGCAGCACACAGTTTTGTTCGAAAAGTTAAAGAACGGACCTTGCGCTAAGTCCATTTCCTAGGGACTCTCTCCTTGCCCAAGTAGTTCTGTACTGATGGCCACCGTAAATAGCAAAGACTCTCCATTCTCGCGCGCTCCGCAGACATATGGGAGCGCTATCATTGAAACTTTGTCACGTATACGAAAACTGTAGTGCGTACTGGTATTTCCGTGTATAAACCACACCACCGGGAATGGCGTACCACGCTACACTGTAAACAAGTGCCCAATACGGTACTCTGTTACAGTTCGTCATGCCCGAAAACGATTTGACTAAAGGAAACGAATGCAGAGCCAAATTTTTCAAGACAATTTGTACAGGGACTAGAAATGATATCATTGCTGGAAAAATGCCGCCATTGGTGCGCCCCTACCGCGCCGTGTCCAAATGCACAGTCCTTTGCATGGACTACCACCGTAAACAGCTGCAACTTACAATGGCCCTCGTAACTCTTCTGTGGAGCCGCGAAAGAGAGACAACCTTTGCGACTCGCACCGTACTGCTTGAGCAAAGAAGTAATCCTACGAAGTGGTTGAGCGCGCAGAATTCTTCGGACTGGAACCCGAGATGAAATGTACAGACCCTTCATTCTCAATCCACTTCTCTGACACCGTTCATCCCTTATGACGACACTTTTCAAAATATTAGATGAATTCCACCAAATCTTGGCTTCGGAATTAGATCTGACTAGGAATTTGTAGCCGAGCGGGATAGTTTCACATTCTGAATACGAATGTCACACCTAACTGGAGCAAAAGGACCTAAAGGAATAAAAAGGAGAACTGAGCGATTTGAGCTGTTAGGGACGCACTCAAATGTCTCTTCGATTCTGAACGGAAATCGAATGCGTGGCGCACAGAAGGAAAATCGATTTATGTGAACCGCTCGATCTTTTCATATTGACCTGTTACGTGCTGAACCGTGCATCTGTTCTTCTTGCAGTGAAGAATAAGATTTGCCGTCCCAGTGGTTCTCTGCTTGAAAGAAGACTCCTAGCCCTTTGAGGCCGTTAGTCGGCTTCTAGCAGCCTAAAGGTTTCAACGGGGAATGAATGAATGTCAGCTATGTTCCGAAGTAAGCCATACATCTGATAACTGGTGAGAATTTCGGATGTATTTGAATGCGTTCTAAGCATACAGATTTATCTGACCAACATTTTTCTCCTCTTCAGTTGTTCGATAATCGATTAGTTACCCTCGTAAAGATGAAGGGTTGGGCCCACTTGACAGACAATCGATACCGTAATTAGGCAAACAAAGAGGGTCACCTCTAGCCACTGGGCAACTTGTAGTTATCACTCATCCAAATAACGAGATGGAACCCATTGGAACGGTCCAGAGCGTTCCCAGGGGAGAAGCTATGCTTCCCTGGACGCCTGAGAAAAAAATTTCTCCAAGAAAATATAAGTCGGAATCAGACCACTGTTCTAGTGAGATGAGGACTAAAACAAAACCTCTGTTATTCCGCGTCAATATCCGTGATCACGAATCGTAATTCGTGTCGTGTTGGGGAAGGGGGGGGCGTAAGCTCAAACGCTCGAGCAAGTGTTAACAACACTTGCTTCTAAGTTTTTAAGCGCGTCGTCGGGCGAATTTCGAGCTAAAGGTGAGATTAATCCTGTCCTGGTCAGGGCCAATCTAACCCCCTTTAAACAAAATTCACTGCCGAATTCTACGGTTTTTTAAGCGAAATCAAAGACTGAATTTCGAAGCGTGGGGCAATAAGGAGCAGAATAGGACATCTATTAGTTATTTTTGTGCCACTTTTCTGTTCTGTTGGAAAAGCGCCAAAATTTCTAGAAATCTGGATTTTTTACGTTGCAGCTGTAGGCTATTAATATGTGAAATCGTTACTGAATAAATAATTTGCTTTTCTATGGTTCCCATACCAGTCGATTCGACGTCGCTGTCGCCGGCGCTCCCCGTTCTATGCCGCAAGTACCTGGCTGCCCGCTGGGCTAACCTACCTGTGCAATGCGCTCTAGAGTCCGGGCGAGCCAGAAAATCGGCAAAATAACAATGGTCACACGAGCATTATTTACGAGAAAAATGGGATAAATGGCTCACTTCAATTTTCACTTATATACATTCTGCATTTACTATTGAATTGCATCGCATTCATCAATTCAGATTAATAGCGTAATCAATTCTGATTCCTGATGCAGCCAATTTGGACAGACAGACTGACGTAGCCTATGAAATAGTTGGAAATTAATTCATTTTTTTTCTGTTTCGCGCGAATGTTAAAAACTGCTAGTCACTAATGCATTACTATAAAACACGTTCAGATTTTTTAATGAGGCTTATAGGCACAGGTCCAATCCTCCTATGTTGGAGACTGATAATTATCGACAAAAAATCACGAAAAATTACGTACACCGACTGTCGTTTTAGTAGAGATCCGCCAGGATTTGGCATGAGTGGGGCCAACTCGGTCAGAAAGTCGATCGCCAGCCGTCAGATTTGTCTGGCGTCCTCCGAATACTCTGGCGGCTCCGCTACGAGAAAGATGTAACCCTGGCCCGAAGTCTCGTCCACTGTGGCGCCGCGGCCCCACATGACACTGGGGCATTGAAATCAATGCTTCGTTTTAAACCACAGTACTCAGGTACTACGGCTTCTGACCTTCCACTTGTGGTCGGTCGAAAACCTTATTTTGGATAGCTCTCTGGGAATTTCCGGAGGGCCGACTAATTTTGGAGTAGTGTGTTTACCCCCGTTGATGGTGAAAGGGTGAAGTTTCTGAAATGAAGAACGCCTGTGTCATCGGGGAAAAAAGGAGAAACTTATGAATGAGAAACCCGGAAAAGTGGCAGGAACCTATGGACTAGGGGAAGTGATAACGAGGACAGGGAACTGGAGGGAGCTCGCTACTCAAAGTAGGAAACCTTGACGAGCTTTATTTCGTAAATCTTTTCTCCAGCGGTGGACGTGCCCAGTGGGCCACAGAAGTCATCCCAGTAAGGGCTCGAACCCGCACCACAGCGCATCTCCCGTAAGTCTATGACCGGTGCGAAAATCGGTACATAATACTGTATTTAAGCCTAAACAATCTTTCGGGATGACAAAACTATTTTTGAGGTTCGTAGCATATTCTATTTCCTTTCAGAATCGATTCTTTTCCTTCAAGGTCCAAATAGCGCGTTTTTCCTCCCAAAGAAGTCTTTCAGTCACTAGCTGAACATATGGGAAAGCATGATTACTGCCATATCAGAGGATTGAACTTTTACCAGAAACTAGCACAAGGTTGCCAGCACAATCCCTCTCGCTCTTGTGGTAACACTGGCACGTCTATCGAGCTGTGGGGATCCCCCGGGGTCATATTTGGTCTTAGCATGGGAGGTCGTACTGGAGTTTGAGAACTGAATTTGAGAAATGATTAGAAATTTCTGAGAATTTAGAATTTTTCCCGTGTGCGAGGAAAACTCTGACTTGACTCCTTGCGGCATTTCCCCCCACCCCTCCCCCGCGCACTCACTGCCGACGCCAGCCTCTTAGAAAAAACAACTGAGAAACTTTCCAGAAAAAAGAGCAAGAGGTGGTAGGAATTCGGGAAAAGTCGGTAATGTGATCCTACGAGGAAGGTGAGTTTGGGTGCGGAAACGGTCGCATTTTGCAAAAATTTGGCCTTTGGACGAGGGTCACCCTACGGCATTCCCACCCCGGTATTCTGAACCTTGTTGCCTTCCCGGATTCCCCGAGAAGGCTATCCAAAAATTGAGGTTTTCGACACAACCACAAGTGGAAGGTCAGAAGCCCGTAGTACCTTGAGATACTGGGTTAAAACCAACGCAGAACGCTCTACTCTCCGATGCCAAGTCACAGCGTGGCGTACATTCAACGCAATCGTTCGCCAATTCCCTCTCTCGCAGCAGAGTCAACAGAGAGAATGCCACGTTAACGAGCTGACACCTGTCGGCGCTGACAGGCCATCACATGGTTAGCACGATTGCCGGAAAGCGCCGTGATGTGAACCCTGGTCTTGTCCGATGCAGTTAGTTTGTATTGTCCAACACTCATCGAAAAGGTACTTCAAATTAAGCCATTCCCGTCGTGGGGTTTTTCAGAACTTTCTGGAATTCTGTAAAAAAAGTTAGTCCACAATGAGTACAAAAATTGAGCTGAACTGTGTGGTAATACCTGGAATGAATCAAAAGATCCTTACTAGGTGGTCGCATTTGCTCTGACCATGAGAAGAAGACCACACACCATGAGAAGAAGACCACACCAGGCCCTGAGGATCTTTTCCGTGCGCTTCTGCTCCCCCTGTTCCGATGCTATTCATAGTACGACGTATATGTCACCGAGTTTCGTGAGAGTACTATTGAGGAAGGTTCTATCCTACATCTGAAGAAATTCAACTATAAGCAAGGCAGGCTGCAAGAGATGTCGATCGATAAATTGGGGATGGACCACGAATTCGATTCCCGTTCAGTATCCCAGTGGTAATTGCAAGTGTATGCGGCCAACGCATTATATTCGACGAAAGATATCAGAACTTGAACTTTCCACTAACTTTCTAATGTGACCTCTCTAGTAGCGGGAGGAAACCGAAAAATAAAAAGAAAAAATAAAAAAAACTACAATATGAAAAACGAAAGGGAAAATAAGTAAACAAACGAATAATAAAATATATGTATGCATATGAATTAGAAAAGAAGTTTTTATCTATTATGATGCGAGCTGGTTGTCGCCAGCAGAAGATGCGCTTGAAGCTGCCACGTAAATTTGTTTTTTTTTTTTTTTTTTATGTGTTATGCGAGCATTGCGGCCCGCGAGAGATACGGAGCGCGCAGCTTGAGGCCTATAAATAACACTGCCTAGCAGGTTCCTCTCGTTCATTCCTGAACATATACTAAAATTGGAACAATACAGAGAAGATTAGCATGGCCCCTGCGCAAGGATGACACGCAAATTCGTGAAGCGTTCCAAAATTTTTTGCGTTTCCTAGGGTCATCTGGTTATTTCCTCCGGTGTAGTTGAATGGCAGCAGGTTTAGGGATACCCTT